TGATGGAAGTTCCCTGGCGCCATCCTGCGCCAGCCTTCTCGTTTGATATTTGTTCCTAAAGATATCTCTTTTGACAGAAATAGTATTGACAGTCTAGTTAGGAGGAGAGCGGGGTCAAGTCGGAGGTGGAAATTGATCACCTGCCACCTTGTCATGCTTGGCTGTCCCTTGAATGTTTACATGATCTGAGGAGACGTGATCATGGGGTATGCCAGATATGCCAAGATCTATATTCGACTCAATACATATACATTGCATCATGCTGGATAATTGCGAGTCAACAAAGTCTAGGAAGAATACATGTTCGCGCGATCTGTTCGAACGCAAGACGCATCGACTGAATGGTGCTTAGCTACAGTTTCATACACATTTCGAGGCTTCTATGGAATCTGACGGAAGGCCAGAAGTCATTCGGACCGATGTTGTGCCATCGAAACTAGCAATGCCGACGAGGTGTTTAGGCATGATGCGGAGCAGCTTCCAACCCTGCTCTACCACTCCTGAATTCTCGCTTTCCAAACCGGGCTTTATCCAGCGCTTCCCCGCCCCTCTTCAGCGACGTTACCTACTAGATACCACGACCGGTGATACCTCGTGGATGTGCTGCAAGAAGCCGATTCGACTATCCATCTCTAATAAATGCCTTTCCATTCTCACTGTGGACATGGCTTCAAGGTAGACCCAACTATCCTATCCACTCTTTTCTCTCTTTGGCAATGAAAGGATTTCTTGCCTTTGTATCAATCGCAATTTGCGGTGAGCTTGCACTCGCACAATCGACTGCAGGGACTTGGGGTCAATGCGGAGGTAGGTCTGACAATACAAAGCGCACAGACGACTGACCCGAATAGGTATTGGTTGGACTGGGCCTACTGCTTGCCCAAGCGGTTAGTTTCAATGGTTTAATACAGACACATTTCTCACTAAAAATCAAAGGATGGACGTGTACTCGTCTTAATGACTGTAAGTCTTGCTGGAAGAAAAGTCGCGTGAGCTCATTGGTTCGTAGGGTACTATCAGTGCCTCCAGGGTTCTTCGACCACCTCTTCGTCAAGCACCACCAGCAGATCGACTACTTCCACCACTTCCACCACTTCAACAAGCACAAGCTCCACCAGCACCACAATCACTTCTAGTACTACTACAAGAACATCCAGTCCGTTGGTTTGCCTTCCAACGATGAGCCATTTTTGCTGATTGTATCATAGCTTCCACCACATCCACAACAACAACAACCACCTCTGGTGGATCTGCAGCTAGTAAGTGAGATGTAGGAGCCTATAATCACAGGGCTGATCTAAATTTGGTTAAAGCACTCAGCCCAGAATGGACGACTGCCTATAACAAGGCCAAGACGGCCGTTGCGAAGCTAAGTCTATCCGAGAAAGTCAGCCTCGGAACCGGTAAGTCTTTATGTCGAGTTCAAGAGGTCCCATTCACAGCTCCTTCAGGTGTTCAATGGCAAAGGGGACATTGTAAGTTTAAGCTTCACAATTGTGTCATATCAGGTGCACTTAAACTGGATATAGGCGTCGGAAATACCCCTGCAATTTCTTCGATCAACTTTCCGGGACTATGCCTTCAAGACGGGCCACTGGGTAAGGGATCAACTCCCTTCGTCGTCAACTTGACTAATATTTCGTACAGCTATTCGTTTTGCTGATCTAGTATCAGTCTTCCCAGCGTAAGGGGTTTCATATACGCGAGTTTCAGCTCCAGTGACGACTTGACCAGAGGGATCAACACGGCTGCGACCTGGAACCGTAGTCTCATGCGTCAGCGAGGGGCGGCCCTTGGAGCCGAATTTAGGGGAAAGTGAGCGATCCCGAAGTGTCTCGGTTTGTGCATATTATTGACGAACTATTCGTAGGGGTATCCATGTTGCTCTTGGACCAGCCATGAATATCGCCAGGGTTCCACATGCTGGAAGAAACGTTCGTAACTCTATAAATCAGGTGCACGGACTATCTGAAAGCTAATTGTTGGTTGGCACTCATAGTGGGAAGGGTTCGGTGGAGATCCATATCTAAGCGGAGAAGCAGCCTTCGAAGTTGGTTTCCGCATCTGATATCCCCAATAAAAACTGAATATTTCCTAATAGACTATCACGGGGATTCAATCAGCTGGGGTACAAGCATGGTGAGTGATTCGATGATTCATTAGACCAATTAGATTGATGTTATTACAGTGCCAAGCATTATATCAACAAGTAAAGGAAACTCTGTGCCTCGCTCATTTGACCTAACTCAAGCTTTCTAGTGAACAAGAGCTCAACCGCGAAACTTCCTCAAGTCAAGTATCTGACCGGTTAGCCCTTTCCTTCTGCCAGGTTTGACGAGGCTTACAATATAATAGAGTGGAGCATGAGATCTATTTCCTTCCTTTCATGTGGGAATTATC